CTACCACGCATCCCATTTCCATCTCGCGTCTTTCACACGGCAGTATATCTGGGAGGTGTTTCCGTGCCAGCGCGTGTGGGTCTGTGGCACGCTTGACACGGGCCATTCTGACCCTCAGGTTCCCAGGGCAGACACTGACTCTTTTCCAAATACTTTTCCTCTGTCCGTTCTTATTCTCCAGACTTTCTGTACCAAAATGCACTGGCTTCAGTGGTCATCCAGGCCTTCGGTGAGCACATTTCCAGATCCTTGGGTGACTAAACGAGCAAACTAACCCCACTTGTTAACCCTGAGCGTGTGCTCCTGCTTGTGCTGGGTCATGCACGGAAGACCGTTCCTCGAGCATGCTGATCTTACAAAGGGCTGCTGCCCGAGACCCCAGCCCCCTCGCTGGATGGTTCCGTGGTGTGGACACGACCTCCCAGGCGGCCCAGAGCAGAGTATTCGCGCTCATTTCTGCTGCTGGTTATTTAAATGAGGCCCGCCCAACCGCGAGTCAGAAAGCTGTGCACAGACGTAGGCAGTGTTCTTACTAACGCTCCACTAGGATCAGCACACAGTGGGGCTTGAAATATGGGTTCCCTTAAGACGAAGCCTATCCTGCTACATCTGGTAATTGCCAGAGATGTTCCCCACCTCTGTAAGTTTCCTTTCTCCTCCGTCTTGCAACGCGCCTTTACTCTTGCTTTGTTCCGTGCTCTGCCTGCTCCTTTGGGTTTGCTTCGTAATGGCAGTGTTTTCGAGCTACTCCTACTCACCCTAATTCCCATACCAGTGACCGTGGGGTTATATTCCACATGACTGAGACACCAAGGTAAAGGACAGAATTGAGACCAACACATGTATTGTGCATTCTCGGTGGCCTCTCCCAGGTAAGAATCACGAGAAGCCGACTTGCACGGGGCCGGCTCAGTCTCTCCCCACGGCCCTTCCACAGGGGGCACAGGGCTGTGAGTGGATCTTGTGCTGCCCAGAGCCCTGGATGGGGAGCGCCGTGACCCCCAAATTCCACCTGGAGCCTGCGTCTTTCTGTGCTTTGTCACCTCTGTATCGTGCCTGACTTCTGGGTTCATTTTATCGATTATGATTTTACCAAATGGATAAGAATGTCAAAGCAACAAAGGAGTTATGTCCTGAATCCAGAGCTAAGGGAGGCAGATAGCTTATTAATAGTGTTACCAGTGGTGTTCATTCCTCCTTCCCGTATTGATGACATGCCCTGTACGTGGGTGCGTGCTGTATGTGCTGTGCCTTAGGGCTGTATCGTGCCTGAGCATTTAGAAAGGATTGCACACTCTCGTTCCCTCGATCTGCAAGATAGCGTTGGAAGGTGGATGTTCTTCTACAAAGAGGTGCAGTGATTTTCTGTACCACGGGCTTTTGACCTCTAGTCGGTCCCTCTCCCCACCGTACCTCACATTTTCCTTCGGGGGTCAAATGCAGCCCTGTAAACACCGACATCCTGTGCTCTCCGCGAGTACCAGAGGACCTGCCTGGGCTCACACCCTGGCCCAGCCGGCTTTGGGCTGCCCCCTGTTGCCCTCCTCACCTCCGTCTTTGGTTTCACACCAGTGATGTGGTCCTTCATATCCCAGATGGCAAAAGCCTCGGTTGGTGACAGGCGTGGGTCGCCTTGGGAGGTGAGGACGGTGCGAGTTGCCAAGAGGTTTTGCTAACACGTAGCAAATGCTGCCTGCATCTGTCGTGGGTTGTCAGGTGGCATAGGGCTCAGAGGCCATGACCCACGCAAACCTGCCCGTTGTCGCACGCTATGGTGGAAGCTGCCCTTCCAGTGGCTGTGGTAATAACCTTCTGCATCATCCCTGAGGAAGGTCGAGAAGATGTGTGCAGCCTGGCCAGCCTCGTTTTTCACCTGCGCTCTCACCCAGTCATTCACAGGCAGCACCAGTGCCTCTAACATCCAAGATGGCACCTGAGTCCTGCCCACGAGCCGATAGTTATGAGTAAGGTTGGCCCGCAGACAGCAGGAAGAACCTTTTCTATGTTTGAAGTATAGTAAATACCTTGCTGAAGTCTTTATCTTTTCCCCAAGGATCCAAAGAGCACTGATTTTCATTCTCCTTTTCAGCCATTGATGGGTGCTGATTTGAGGATGGTTGCAGTTCTCCACACAAACATCTTGAAAAATGAGTAGGTCAAGATCATCTCCAATTTGACTTAAAGGAGATTGTCTCTTTCAGGGCTAATTTCACGGCGTTGTGGAAGGCTCATTTTTTTTTTTTAACCATTAAGAAACCCTCCATGGTGGAAAAATAGACTCTATTTCTCATAGTACCAAACCTATGATTAAAATCCCCCTCCCCTGCTCTTTGTGCTGGGGCGGGGGGGAAGCAGCATCCGTCTGATAGGAGCTCCCTCAGAATAGGAAGTTCTTCTGAGTCTTGGATCTCATCTGATCCTCAGGTTTAGCCTCCAGCGTTTCTCGGGCTTTCTTGCCCATGGTTGGCTGGAATACACGAACAGCTTTTTGATTCCTTGCTCCCAGCCTGCCCTTTCACCTCAGTGAATAGGTTTAAGAAAGGTTTTTCTTTGCTGGAATGTGATTTCTCTCTCTTCAGGATCAGAGAACATTCTAGAGTGAAGTAGAGTGGGAAGGAAAAGGAGGAGGTTTCCGGAGGCAAGCAGTCTCGAGACCAGCAGTCCCACTCCCATGCAGTGTGAACTCCAAGCAGAGCTTAGACCGGCCTGGTCTCCGGGGGCCCCCTTAGCTCTCCTGGCAACCTGCACAGCACGAGGCTCTAAGCAGCGACGGGTTCTGCCCCACGTGTTACCATTCTTAGCTCCGCAAGCTGCCGCAGCCCTTAGGAGTAATTCTCCCTAGGCTTCTCGGTGCTGATGTTTGCATGGTCCCCTCTTCGGATCTTGGGGCGTCTTCTTTTAGTTCTTTCGTTTATGTGGCAGTTGAGCCATGGCTTTTGGGATTCCCTTTGGAAGATAATCTGCGAATCCCCTAAAAATGGTACTCACAGGAAAGGTCAGACCTGTGCCGTCTTTTCCCAGAACACATCCACAAGCCGAGGGTTTGGATGGACGGAAGACAGTCTACCTGGGCTTGCCTTCCTCTTCCTTTTAGAGACTTCGCCTTTTAGTTTTCCCAGAAGTTTCTTCTTGCTCACCTTTGCGTGATTAGTGAATAGAAAAAGAAATGCGAACGATCGCTTTTTGAGGGAGCGCATGTCCCAGCCTCTGGGAGCGCCTAGAGTGGATTTCCATGAAATCTTCCAGGTCGTGGGTATTGCTTAATCACGTTCCCAAAAAACATCGTCCTCAAATACAACTGCCCATCTCACATGCGGGAGGCGGGACCCATGTGACGAGCAGGCCCAATCGTGGGGCCTCCGTAGAGTGGCTGCAAGGGCCCCACACAGTCCTCTGCCTCCCTCCACACCCACATCCACATCCCCATCCCCACACGGTAGTCACTGTGT